TGAAAGGTGGGAGTATAAGACCGGGTACGATAGTGGAATTGTTTTATGGAAGTGGTAGAATTAGATGTATAGGACCCCAGTATTTGTCCTATATGGGAGAGTTCTGAGAGTGAGAAAGGAACATTACCCTAATCAATCCATCTACGTTGGCCACGTCTCACAAAGGGAGAACTTTAGCAGGCTTGGTTTGGTTAGGGTTGGGTTCCATAGCAGAACCTGAGCGTGTGAGAGGAGGGGTAAAGGTGGGTGCCAGAGCAGGGCAGCTGCTTCCACCAGGCAATGGAGAGGGAGAATGATTCTGTGGGGGCTGCTGGAGCAGTTAGTGGGGGGAAGAGAGAGCTGAAGGGCAAGGGGAGGTGAAGGAGCAGAAGGAGGAATGGCAGGGGCTGAAGGGACAGGAGCAGAAACTGGTGGGATGGGGTAGCTTCCTGCTGAGGTTGAAAAGGCGGGGGTTCGTTAGCTGGGTCCAGAACGAAAGTGGAGGATTCTACCAGTACAGGTGGCATAGCCAGGAACATGTGAGCAGCTTGCAAGGACAGAGGACTTAGGCTTAGAGCCTAAATAGTAAAAGTCTTGGATGTAAGGAAACTCCTTCCATTTGCCTGTGCGCTGACAATAGTTATTGGGATCAAAGGTACCATTGGGCGGCCACTTTAGATTGCCATCTAAATTGTAACGAGGCCATTTTTTTTTTTTAAACAAAGGCAGACAAGTGTGGGGATCTGTAGGTAGGGCATTAAGGCCTGGGGTTTCAGGGCCTCTAAAAGGCATCCCAGGGGGAGGCTGGATTGTTGAGTTTGGATGGCTTGTTACCCTCTGTTGGAACTGTGAAAACCTGAAACAGCGACACCACAAGGCCCACAGTAAGGCATCTCTTGATTGTGGGTGGGGTATGAATCAGTGCAAGCTTCGCAAGACCCGTGGGCCATGAGTGAGAAGGTGGGCAACTCAGAACCCAGAGAGGCCAGAGGTCACTCCGAGCGACCTTTTATGGCAAGGAAAAAAAAAAAAGAAAAGAAATAGAAAAAAAGAGAAAGAAGACTCTGAGGAACCCTGGGCCCCCAGTCGAATGCACTGCACAGAGTGTGCAGGGCTGGCGTGGGAGAACTGACCCTGGGTCAGTCCAGTCACAATTTTAACTAAGGGAAGCAATCCACAGATGAATGTCAGCGAAGGGCACAACCTTAGCCTTGAAGACCATGGTTGGGGATAGTCTCCCCATTTCTAGAAACACCAAAGTGTTGCCAGAGCTCAACACTCAATTCCTCAGGTTCAGAGAAATGGTTAAGCTGACCAGAATAGGGAAACTCACCAATTGAAGCCGGTGTTGTTCAGAGAAGTCACACTCAGGCATATGGAACACGTGGTTGTTGTGGAGAAGAATTTCCTGGTTCCAGATCACGACCACGGGAGGGGGGCTCAGGGTGGGAGAGAGTCTTAGCACCAATGAAATCACCTGGCGCCAGTGAGACACAAACAAACCTGCTTAGGAGTTTATTAGAGGGGGTGCGTACAGGCCTGGGGATGGGGGGGGGGGGGGTTGGCGCATGCGCACAGGGGGTTGGCATGACTACGTCATACGCAGATGATGCAGATGGGCCACTCACGCATGCGCACAAGGGTTTTAGCAGAGTCATGTGTATGTAACCCAAGGGCCCATCTGCACATGCCTGCCTTTAGAACCCAGAAGTGCAGCCTTCTCTGTGGTTGAATAATTACATGAGCTATGTGACACTGTAAAGTATGAGGAGAAAGCCTAAAATAGGGGAATCTGAGGAAAGAAACTGAGAGTTCCTCACTCACTTTAAATTTTTTTTTCTTTTCTTTTTTTATTTTAATTTATTTATTTATTATGTATACAATATTCTGTCTGTGTGTATGCCTGAAGGCCAGAAGAGGGCACCACACCTCTTTACAGATGGTTGTGAACCACCATGTGGTTGCTGGGAATTGAACTCAGGACCTTTGGAAGAGCAGGCAATGCTCTTAGCCACTGAGCCATCTCTCCAGCCCACTTTAAATTTTTTTTAAATATTTATTTTTGATGTATACAATATTCTGTCTGTGTGTATGCCTGCAGGCCAGAAGAGGGCACCAGATCTCATTACAGATGGTTGTGAGCCACCATGTGGTTGCTGAGAATTGAACTCAGGACCTTTGGAAGAGCAGGCAATGCTCTTAACCTCTGAGCCATCTCTCCAGCCCCCCCTCACTTTAAATTTTTAAAATAAACTATAATTGTGATGGTTAATTTGCCAGTTTGAGGGGATTTAGAATGACTATGGAAAACCAATCTCTAGGCCTGTCTGGGGATTATCTAGCGTAGGTTAACTGAAGTAAGAACACTAACCCTAAATGTGGGCGGTACCATGGAATAAAAAGGAGAAGGTGCTTCCTGGGCACAAGCATCTCCCTCCAATATGACCTGTTCCTGCTGCCAATCTGCGTGCATGACAACATGGCAGCTCCACGGAGGGTTTCATTGTCGAGTCAGAGGCATCTGGAAGAATCCACAGCAGAGAGACAAAGTAATGGACTGACATGACCAGGATGAACTTGGCCATGAGAGGAGGCAGAGATGGGGAGAGGAAGAGGGAGGGAGTCAAGAGAGCAGGTAACTAACCAAAATAGCAAGGCCATAAGGAAATGAGAAGCTGGCAGGAGGGGAGCCCAAGGCTAAAGGGTAGGGTGAGAAGAGTCAGGGTGCCAGCATAAACTTTGCAACAGGTTCTTCTGATACGTGGCAAGCATGGAGGCCGGAATGTATTTTAGATTGCTAATAGGTACCACAGATAGCCATCAGAACAGAGTTCATTTGGACCTGACACTCATCTTTCCTGAGATGAAGCTAAGTCAAACCATCCATGCTGCGGTGTATGGAAGACCCTCAGAGAGGACCTTTTCCTCCAATGAAGTCCCCAGAACCAGGACACTCCGAGTCCAGACCACAGGATGCAATTAGCAAGAGGTTTATTGAGTAAACACAGGTACCTGCAGGCAGCAAAGTCTTTCGGAGGACTTGTGCGCCTGCCAACTGGAGAGCGAGCTTTTTATAGGGAAGAGCAAAAAGCAAGTTTACAGAAGCAAAAGCATGGTTATCGGTTGACCGGAATGAGGCGGGGGCATGAATGGTTTCCCCTCTCAGCAAGGGTGTCAGCAAAAAGCAAGTTTACAGAAGCAAAAGCGTGGTTATCGGAATGAGGTGGGGGGCATGACTGTTCCTATCTCATAGATATCCTGTTTTGCAGTCAACCTGCTTTGTTGATGTCCTATCTTATTGACATCCTGCCCTGCAGTCTTCCTATCTCATAGACATCCTGCTCTCTCAAGCACATGGGATGTTCTTACGAGAGCAGGCTGGCTGCTGATCCGGAGAATTTTTTTTAAAGCAAACAGGACGTTCCCCAGGAGCATGCTAGCTGCGGGTTTTGAGGAGGGGGTCTGTAGGGTCTTTCAGTATACACAGAGGCTGGTGGATCTATGTGAATTCAAGGCCAGCATGGTCTACAGAGTGAGTTCCAGGAGAGCCAAGGCTACACAGAGAAATAAAACCACTCCTACCCACGCAAAAATAGAAATAAAAAGCAAATCCATAAACAAACAAAACAAAAATCCCTCCCTCCCTTCCTTCCTTAAATTGCTATTGTCAGGTGTTTTGTCTCAATAACAAGAAAAGTAACTAATACTGTGGAAAACCACCATTTTTAAGTACTGCATCTACTGAGTTTACAGAGAGATTTGTCATCTTAAAGTACGGTTCAGGAAATGAGGAGCCAAGGAAAGTTTCTAAGTGGGAGAGAGAAGTCGCTGTATTTGGAGATAGTATTTTTTTTTTTTTTTTTTTTTTTTTGGTTTTTCGAGACAGGGTTTCTCTTAATAGCCTTTCAGCTTTGAAAAAATGGTGTGTACTCCCTTAAACAATTCGGGCAATATAAAATAAGAGTAACTTGAAACCTAACAAACCTTTTCCAAAGATAACCTCTGATATCCTTTTGGAGAATCTCTTTCCTAAAACCGTTATGATTTTACATCCTCAAACTTCAAATAAATTGAACCTGTCTAATCATGCTGGTTTTGTAACCAATTTGCCCTTCTGAGAGCAAACTGTGAAGAGCCTTCAGTGTCTAAAGATATTTATCCGATTTTATACGGCTGCTTAGCACTGCGTGGCATGTATATATCACCGTTTATTGAATCAGCCCAGACTGATGGATACCTACATCTTTCCCACCTCCTATTCAATAACCTTCTCCATAACCTTGGTCATTCTTTTCTAACATTTTCGGTCATTTTTGCAAATTAAATACCTATAAGTAATGTAAATGTAAACAAATGTCCTTTTTACATGGGAATTTAAGTTGCAGAATTGTCCTCTAATTTGCAGGGAAGCCTGTCAGGCGACTGCTGTGTCAGTTCTGGAGAGACAGTGACAACGGGGATGGCGAGGAGAGTACAGAATTACAGATGATGCAGGCCATCTAGGCCCAAGCTAGTAATAGTCCTTCCCCCTTTCCTCTCTTTCACTTCTTTTTCTTAACATGGAGGAAGGACTGAGAACTACACGTCCCAGCATTTCGCAAGGACTACACTCCTGGGAACTGTAGTACCGGGTCTGAGAGGGGTTCGGAAGGAGAGGCAGGGCAGCTGTGTGAGGCATGCTGGGAGGTGTAGTCCCTCAGGCGGAAGCGAGTGCTTGTGTAGGTTGGAGACACAGAGAGTTTTTGCTTCATGGAGATGAGGCTGAAGAAATATCCGACTTCCCTCTCAAGCGTTCTTTGAGTTTACAAAAGTCTCCCGTGGACCATCGGCTTCATTCCATTGTCTGTGACCCAAGAGGGTGCGGCCCCAGGGCCGCCGCGCGGTTGGAAGATTCAGGCTGCGCAGGGCCGCAGCAGAGCATGCCGGGAGTTGTAGTCCAGCAGCTCTGAGGCTGTGGGACGTGTCGGGACGGCGTGCGGGCTCCTCCTCCCCCGCCCTTCTCAGCGGTCCCCCGCCCCCTCCCTCAGCCTCCTCCTCTCTCGCCTGCAGCCGAGCGTCCCCTTCCCCCACCGTCGGGTTTCTCCGCGGCTACTGCAGCGGATTCAGAGCCGAGTAGCTGAGAAGGAGGAGGAGGCTCCCGTCCCTGCGCGCCATCCACCACCCTCCTGGACACGGACGAGGGAACGAGAGCGTCGCCGCGGTAGCCTCCGGAGAAGACAAGGGCACCGTCGCCTCAGCCGCCGCCGCGGTTTTCGCTTGTCGCAGCTCGCCGGTGAGGAGACCCCCCCGCACCCCTGGCCCGCTCCTGTGGAGCTTGGGCTGGTGGCGCCGGCGAGAATGAGGGTGGGGGCCGTGGGGCTCCCACGCCGGCCTTGGGGGGAGGGGACTGAAGTGGCGATGGAACGGCGGGCTGGTGGGGAGACTTGTCCGAGCGCGGGCTGGGGGTTGGGTGAGGGTGGGACCCCAGCAGGTCAAGGGAGCGTAGCGGGGGAGGAGGGCGACTTTACATGGAGAAGGGGTTCCCAGACCGGGGACGGGAGCATGGTGTGTGTGGGGTACCGAGGTGGAATTTGGGATTGTCTTTGGGGCGAGCTGGAAGGTGAGACTGGAGGGGAGGGGTGTCTCTTAATGGGGGAGGGGACTGAATGAAGGTGATGATTTGGGGTTGGCCTGAAGCAGTTGACAGCTCGGGGTCAGAGCTGGGGTGGGGGCTAAGGAGATCTTTTCAATGCGGAGTGGGATATAAATGTTGGCTAGGACTCCGCGGAGTGCTAATTTTGGAAGGTGGGATTTGGGGTAGACCTGGGGAAGGCTGATGGAGATGGTAGCAGCTGGGGATGAGGGGTTTGCCATGGGTTGAGACTTAAGCTTGAGGTGGGCTTCCGGGGATGGTAGAATTTGTGGATACTTAAGGAAATAGCTTGAGTTTGGAGAGAACAGAAGCGGTAGAATTTGGGGTTTTCTGGGGGTCGGCTGCTGGAGGTTGGAATATGGGCTGGGAGGGGCGAGACTTCCAACTACAGGAGACGGGTGGTAAACTGACAGGAGGGAGTAAATTGTACGTTGGGCCCCAAACAGGAAGGCAGCGATTGAAATTGGGGATGCGCACAGTGAAAAAGGATTTAGGGTGAGTTTAGAGTCACTGGAGGAAGCAAGGTGGCTCCCCTGGGCATGAGTTGGAGGCAGAGGGTATGAGACTACCTACTCAGCTGGACTCCCTGAAAGAATAGTGGAAGGGGGTGAGCAAGCTTAGGGGATGGTGTCTTAAAGAGAATGTCTCTGCCAGTTTTGCAGGATTTCCAGTCTGATGAGCTGGTTACCTGCGGTGTGGTGGCAGAGGGTGAATTTAAGACGTGGGAGAGCCAGTATTGTGGGAACCGTAGGGACAGAGAGGATGCAGAGGGGCGGTGAGCAGTGCTGGGAAGGAGTGGACTGGCTTATGTAGGAAAGGATGTCCTCTAAGACGACCAGAGGTATAGGAGCTAGACCACTTTAACGTGGTAAAGAGCACGGTTGCTTTGGTGAGAGACAATAATACTAAGGTCATTAGAAGGTCTTCCAAAACGGACAGAGAAGGAGGTACATTAAAGAGTCTCCTGAGGGATCTTATGCTGTCAGTTTGACCTTTTTGTTGGGTTTATGTTGGTATTGTCTGGAAATAACAGCCCAAGGGTAAGGTTTTGAGAGAACCTTCATTTAAGGTAGAATTAATGGAGGGGATTGTCTTTCCATTTCTATGTCATAAAGAGAAACTTGGGGGTTGGGGGAACCCACTCTCGGAGTAAAGGTGGGGAAGGTGAAACTGCCTGCCCCTCCTTTACCACCTCCCCCGGTACACTGAAAGCTGGTTCTGGGATTTGTCATTTAGACGGACTTTGATGAACTTGAGGCTGTTGAGGGTGCATTCTTGCTTGAGAACCGGTTAATGATATTGAAAGATAGGAAAACTGACTTTATTTTCTAGGCAGACAAGGTGCACGTATGTAGAAAGAAGTTAGTAAGCCCCTCTTCCCCCCAATAAAATCGATTGCTTGATGACTCCATTTATTGGTGTCCTTGTTTGCAAGGCAATTAGGCCCATCATTGTATTGCAGACTAATAATCCTGACATGAGTCTTGGCATTACCACTTTATGTAAACACAGAGAAGACAGGAAATAGAGAAATGTAATAAATATTCATTTTGTACTGACGGGGTTGTTCATTTGATTCTCTTTTGACATTACTTGATAAGATTTAAAATAATTGGATTGTTTCTGTAGATTGAATTTTCTTCTAAAGGAATTCAACTAATCAGAATTCTGTCAGGTGTGGATAAATGAAGTATATACAGCCATATTTTATTTTTAAGAGGATGATGTTGATGTAGGCATGTTGCAGTAACTACAAAAACAATAACTCCATCTATTTAATCAGAAATTTGATTTAAAACTTGAGACAAGTTTATTCTTGTGGTAGAATGCTGATGATGGAAGGTGGGGGAGTATAAAGAGAGGGGACATCTTTAGGGAAACAGCTTTCTGGATTTATGTGCACTAACTATGATATGTTAAACTTGAAGTGGTTGTTGATTAGAGAAAAAATGAGGAGAAATGAAAAGAAGATAAAATTGATACCAATACAATTTTTTTTGTTGTTAAAAAATTTTTAGCTACAAAACAAACCGTTTTCCTTGGGTTTCATAATCGAACACATAAAATGCCCATATAGAGTCAAAATTTGCCTCCCCTCATAGATGGAGTGATGGAGGGGTAGACATCCTTGGAATTGTGGGGGTTTTTGTTGTTTATTCTTGTTTTTGGTTTTTGGATGCTTTCTGTATCCTAATAAAACAACAGCAACAACAAAACAAAAAAACCCAAGCTTAAGCAGTAAGAATGTAATCTAACCGGTGAGGGCATTTCTCCTCATAATTTTATTCTGGGGTCCAGACATTGCTTTTGTGAATTTGCTGACGGACTGGCTATTCATGTTAAAGCCCTAGTTTCTAAAGCTCAGAATGAAAAGTAGTCACCTGGGAGAATTGTGTTGGTGGATTTATTTTCCCTATAGTCATGGTTACCTGTGCAGTAGTGAGGCAGACAACAGGGAAAGTAGAGAACAGGTGGAGGGATTGGTAGACAGGAGTCTGGCGAAAATGAAGAGCCCATGAATTTAGGAGTCAAGGGTTTTCACTTCAAATCCCAGTTTTGATTTCAGTCTTTGAAAGGGGACTGATTTCAGTAAAGTCATAAAACCCTTTTTATATTTAGTGGTGATTATTGCACAATACTGTGAATACATTGAAAATCTTTTGAATTGTGTGTTTAACTGTGGTAAAATGTCAAAACAAAACATTCATACTTCACAAAGGCTGTCGAAGGGGACAGACGAGTTCATGTCTTAAATACCTTGTGTATATATAAAATGTATGTCCACTATTTATATGATGCCTGCTTAGTGCGAGGGGAGATGGAGTCAGGGAGCTTTCGTTGTCATGGGAAGGACAGACTGTTTTCAGTTTAGAAGTGAGGCAAAAGGCCATGCTGTGGTGGCGCACGCCTTTAATCCCAGCACTTGGGAGGCAGAGGCAGGCGGATCTCTTTGAGTTCGAGGCCAGCCTGGTCTACAAGAGCTAGTGCCAGGACAGGCTCCAAAGCTACAGAGAAACCCTGTCTCAAAAAAAAAAAAAAAAAAAAAAAAGAAGTGAGGCAAAATGAATGTGGTGGCTGACGTGTGGATTCTGAAGCTCACTGCTGCTGGATGTGACCTTGGGCACAACGAGATTATCTGTAAAGTGAGGAAATAAAATTAACCTCATTAAGTTTGTTTTGTGGGTTAAATAGAATAAGAAAGCATTTAACACAATGTGTTATGTAGTGCATGGTAAAACAATATTAGTTTTCATTATCTTGGAGAGATGGGCAGAAGCTAGAACAGTGAATGTTCACCTGCTGCTGACTTACTTCTTAGTGTTATGACATTCTTTTGTTTAGAAAGAAGTTATTAGTTATAAATAAGTTATATTATTTTGAAATCATGATTTATCTACAGTTTGTATGTTTATAGTTTAGTTACTTTAAGCAGTTCATAAAAATATCAAAAAAAGAGCGGTTAGCTTCATAATCTAGCAAATAGCAGCTATGCTGTTAAAAGTAATAAAATGCTTTGTTTAAGGGCAATAAGTGACAGAGAATGAGTTATTTTCTAGAATTCTGATTCACCAACCTGGCCATATCTTTTTAAATTATGAAATGGCTCATATGTAATACATAAAGGTGTATTTAACACAAATCCACATTTAGAATATTAAGTTGAGCCAGGCATGGTGACACACACCTTTAATACCAGCACTTGGAAGGCAGAGGCAGGCAGATCTCAGTGAGTTCGAGGCCAGCCTGGTCTACAAAGAGAGTTCCAGGATAGTCAAGACTGTTACACAGAGAAACCCTGTCTCGAAAAACCAAAAGAAAGGAAAAAGAAAAAGAAAGAAAAGGACTACGGGATTTCTTCCTAGTGAATTTTTGGGACCCAGTGCCACATTAAGTGTTATTGAGAGCTAAAAATGAATTAAGGATTTTTTGAAGTGGGAGATATATGTTGTTTGTTTGCCATTATTCAGACAAATATAGCTCTTTTTTTGTAATAATTACAAAAAGTAATAGAGTGAGGACTATTTGTACACATTGAAGAGGGTATTAATACTTATTGTTGGGTTGATACATGAATTAAATAGACACAGTTTCCATTTAATATAGTAGCTATTATTGTTACTGATTTTTTTTAAAGATTTATTCATTTATAATGTACACAGTCTTCTGTCTGCATGTACACTTGCAGGCCAGAAGGGGGCACCAGATTTCATTATGAATGGTTGTGAGCCACCATGTGATTGCTGGGAATTGAACTCAGGACCTTTGGAAGAACAAGTCAAATGCTCTTAACCACTGAGCCATCTCTCCAGACCCTTACTGATGTTTTTATTTTACTTTTGAATTGTTTCTTGAGACTGTCCTTTTGTTACTTAATATTTTCTATCTCTTAACTGTTGAGATTGTATACATGTATCACCATATCCAGCTCAAAAAGTTAATTTTTTGTTGTTGTTGTTGCTGAATCCAGGGTGTCTCAGAATTCTTGAGGGTAGGAAGTCTAAGATCATGTTGCCAGCAGATTTGGCTTCTGGAAAGGACTCTTTTCTTTGTTTTTAAGATGATTCGTTGTTGTTGTGTCCTCTGGAAGGGACCAAAGCTGTGTCTTCCTAGGGTTGACGAGCCAAAAGAACTAGGTATAG